CAAAAATGCCCAATGAAAGTATGGCTCAAGTGCAGTAGCTGTGAGCAAGAAAGCCAAGCCAAGAGCATGAGGCCTTGAGTTTAAGCCACAGCACTGGAGTGCGTGTACACACGTGCATAGGCACACACAGGAGTACAAATAGTACTATACTACTGTTGTACCAGGAACAGATGAATGAAAGTAGAATACAAAAATTTATGGATACAATCTTTTGTAATCATTTTGTGCTTATCAAATAAACACTAACACTACAATATTGTTTAGTGGTTCAAGCTGAAGAGCTTAGGGACAGTGCCTAGGCCCAGAGTTCAAGCCCCAGGACCAACACATACACACACACACACATACACAAAGTAAGTAGTGGTTTTACATTTTAAACTTTTGGCAACTATCCCATTTCTTGCTTTTTTTTTTTTCTTTTCTTTTCTTTTCCTCCTCATTTCCCCAGGGAGTAGAGAAGGAGAAGTTTCCACATTCCATGCCAATTTCCTTCCTTTGCTACTTTGTGCTTCCTCTGCTGTTCCATCCCTCCTGCCCAGGGCTGATTCATGTGCATGCAGCACTGTGCGGACAGAAGTGGAAGATGTACTTAGGCCATCTTGGCAGATAGGCCCATGGTGGAACATTCACTTAGAGATACGAGAAGCCTCTTACATATCACTAAAGTGGTTGGTGCTGTGAAAAGAAATAAGGCTGCTTAAGGGATGTCAGGTAGGATGAGCAGAGGAGGAAATAACCTCTGAGCAAGGATTGAAGATTTGATGCATTGGGCCATTTTGCCCAAGCTCTTTCTCTACTCCTCCCCCTTTCAACCAGTATGTACCCTTTCAGGTGAAAATAGATAATTTCACTGTTTAAAGCTGGGAGGGGGGGCTGGGAAGGTGGCTCAGTGGTAGAGCGCTTGCCTTGCATGCCTGAGGCCCTGGGTTCGATTCTTCAGCACCACATAAGCAAAAAGAAAAAAGCCGGAAGTGGTGCTGTGGCTCAAGTGGTAGAGCGCTAGCTTTGAGCTGAAGAGCTGAAGGACAGCGCCCAGGCCCAGAGTTCAGGCCCCACGACCGGACCCAAAAAATAAATAAATAAAGCTGGGAGGGGCGCTTCTTGGTGCAGGTTGTGTACTGCTCTCTTGTAGGCACTTGAGTTAGCATTGTAGGCTTGACTATTGTCATAGTTTTCCAGCAGGTGACAGTAGAGTTCATGAGGACAACTTGCACATTAATGAAATTTCTAATTTGTTTTCACATAGTTCACCCTTCTCCATCTCTGATGCATAAAGTTCCTTTCTGTGTAGGCCTTAGCCTTGTCCTCTAGCTTGCTTCATACACACACACACACCTCAGATATTTAAGACTTAAAAACTAAGGGCATAGGGCAAGAAACTTTCACATGACTTGGCTTGTTCTTGTTCACTGTTAACATTTGGTTGTATGTGCTTTGGTGTTCCCTCCTTCTCTGTCCACATACATGTTTTTTCCCTGAACCATTGATAGTTGATACATATTCCTTGAAATAGGAACCTTTTCTTTTCCTTTTTTTTTTTTTTGGTCAGTTGAGGGGCTTGAACTCAGGGCCTGGGTGCTGTCCCTGAGCTCTTTTGCTCTACCACTTTCAGCCTCAGCTCCACTTTGGGTTTTTGAGTGATTAATTAGAGGTAAGAGACTTTGAACCATGATCCTCAGATCTCGGGCTCCTGAGTAGTTAGGATTATTGGTATGAGCTACTGGTTTCTGGCTTTAACTTTTTTTTTTTTTTTTTTTGTCCTGGGGCCTGGACACTGTCCTGAGCTTCTTTTGCTCAAGGCTAGCATACCACTCAAGCCACAGAACCACTTCTGGCTTTTTCTGTTTATGTAGTACTGAGGAATGGAACCCAGGGCTTCATCCATGCTTGGCAAGTACTCTACCATTAAGCCACATTCCCAGCCCTTCTTTAATCGCATAAAACCAAGTGCAGGCCGGGTACCAGTGCTCATGCCTGTAATCCTAGTTACTCAGGAGGCTGAGATCTGAGGATCTCCTATCAAAGCCAGCCCTGGCAGGTAAGTCCGTGAAACTCTTATCTCCAACAAACCACTAGAAAACTGGAATTGGCGCTGTCACTCAAGCGGTAGAGCACTCGCCTTGAGCTGAAGAGCTGAGGGACAGCGCTGAGGCTCAGAGTTCAAGCCCTACAACCGACAAAAACAAAACAACAAAAACTCTAGTCTATTCACATTCGGATTTTGTCATTTGTGCAGCATGAAGATTTGGTTGGTTAGATGATTGGTTGCTTTTTTGTTTGTTTTGCCTTGTTTTTGTTTTTTGAGGAGGATCTTGCTATGTGTAGCCCAGTCTGGCTTTGAACTCTTACAGCCTTAGCCTCCTAAGGCTTTAGATTATAGGAATGGGCTACCACTTTCAGCCCAATGGTGTCTTTAATGATTTTTACCCCTATTTGCAGTCTAGTCCAAGATCACACTTGGCATTTATGCACTGACATGTCTCGCCATTGATAGTATTAGAAATAGGTCTTGTTGACTTTGCATGGTGTCTTCTCTTTAGAATCAGGTTGTATTTGAGGCAGGAATACCATAGATACAACACTCTCTTCCATGCATTCCATCCTGAGGCTTGTGGCATCTGTTTGTTTCTCTGTCGGTGACACTTAGTTCCTCTTGTAGCATATGAACTCCAGCCCTGACTCCTACTTAGCACTTATTCTCTAGTAGGCTCTGTTTGGTTTTCTTGTTCAGTCAGGTGAGTCTGAGTTCCTTCCACTTGTCCTTCACTTTTGCAACAATGCTTAGTTTTCCACTGGGAATCAGAATGCTGCTTCTGAACCAGCAGTTATTTCCTCTATACATTCAGCATATTTTTAGTGTTTTCTTTTAGATTTTGGCAAAATCTGGTTTTAGGATTGGGTCCAGAGGAGAGTATTACAGATGACCGTGGGGAAGAACTGGGTGCCATCTGGTCAGTTGGGATCAGTTTCAAATTCACTTTATCCAAAATCACAGTCTTTTAGGCTAACCATATTTTGAGTACAACTAAAATTTGAATGTCTACAGTGTACCTCCCTGTATTAGCTTTATGTAGTCCTAGAAACATCTTTGCTTCATAAAGGTGAAAATATGGATGCTTTTAGAAAGGTTAAAGTAAGGTGCTTAGTAATTACCAGGATTGGGGCTGGGAAGGTGGCTCAGTGGTAGAGCGCTTGCCTTGCATGCCTGAGGCCTTGGGTTTGATTCCTCAGCACCACATAAGCAAAAAGAAAAAAGCCGGAAGTGGCGCTGTGGCTCAAGTGGTAGAGCACTAGCCTTGAGCTGAAGAGCTGAGGGACAGCGCCCAGGCCCAGAGTTCAGACCCCATGACTGGACCCAAAAAAAAGAAAAAAAAAAAAAAAGAAATTACCAGGATTCACACTCTACTTTCCTTCCCCACTTCAGTTGTGGGGCTTGAACTTAGGGCCTGGGCTCAGTCCCTGAGCTCTTTTGTTCAAGGCTAGCAATCTACCATTTTGAACTACAGTTCCACTTCTGGGTTGTTTTGTTTTGTTTTGTTCTTTGTCTTTTTTTTTTTTCCTGGTTGGTCGTGGGGCTTGAACTGTGGGCCTGGGCACTGTCCCTGAACTCAAGGCGAGTGCTCTACCGCTTGAGCCACAGCACCACTATGGGGTTTATTGGAGATAAGAGTCTCAGGGACTTTCCTGCCCTGGCTGGATTTGAACCGCTGTCTTCAGATCTTAGCCTCCTGAGTAGCTAGGATTATAGGCATGAGCCACTGGCCCCCCAGTCAATTCTGGTTTTTGAGTGGTTAATTGGAGATGGGAATCTGAGGGGAACTTTTCTAACCCGAGCTGGCTTCCCACTGTAATGAACAGATCTCAGCTTCCGAGTTAGCTAGGATTACAGGCATGAGCCCCCAGCACCTAGTTCTCAAACTTTGTCTCTCCAACTCAGAGCCTTGCTCTTTATGTGAGCCTGTCCTGAAGCTTTGGTAGTTAATTTGAGATAAGAGTATCAGACTTTCCTACCCAGCCTGGTTCCGAACTGCAGTGCAAAGATCTCAGCCTCCTTAGAAGCTAGGTTTACGGGTATAAGCCACCAGTACCTTGCTCTTTTTTGTGAGCAGAGTAGAGGGAGAGTCTTACTGGAGCGACAAGTGTTAAGTGTTGGTCTTTAGAAGTTGAAATGCACATTTTGTGTCTAGATTGGAAGTACTTACCAACATATGCCATCCAGTTGTTGAGGCAGTTATTGCTACTTTCTTTGCCCTCGTTCCATTTTGTACATTTCCAGTTAGCTTTGGTTTTATAGTCTAAATCAATTTATAACCCTTCTGTACTTTCACTTTTTTTTTAATTTAGCAAGAATTTATTTTTGCAAAATGAGATTAAATGAGAAATGGAAAAACAAGAAAAATAGTTCCTGTTCTCCATGCAGGAAATGGGAGCTAAAGATTTACTTTCAGGAGTTGGAAATGTGGCTTAGTGGTAGAGTACTTGCCTAGCATGCATGAAGCCCTAGATTCGATTCCGCAGTATCACATAAACAGAAAATGCCAGAAGTTGGCTCTGTGGCTCAAGTGGTAGAGTGCTAACCTTGAGCAAAAGAAGCTCAGGGAAAGTGCCGAGGCCCGGAGCACCAGGACTGGCAAAAAAAAAAAAAAAAAAATTACTTTCACTTGGAAAAAATACAGTTCTGTTTTTCAGGCCAGCCTATAACTCTTGGGATCCTCCAGCCTGTGCTTCCACAATGCTGGGGCTTCAGACATAAGCCATTGTCCTTGATTTGATTGTAAAGTTTTAGTCAGCAGTTACAAAGATATTGTATTGTCAGCTGTCATCCTTTCTGCCAAAGACAATTTACCTATGTGGACTTCAGTAGCCAAAATAAACTCTTTAAGTATCAGATACTCTTGAAATGGGTTGTAGCCATGTCTGTGCTAGTGGGGTGCATGCAAGACACAATAGAGAGCAGTTTTGGCTTCTATACCTTACACTCCCCTCCCCTCTCTTGGCAGTGCACGATCTGATTTTCTGGAGAGACGTGAAGAAGACTGGCTTTGTCTTCGGCGCCACGCTGATCACGCTGCTCTCCCTGGCAGCTTTCAGTGTCATCAGTGTGGTTTCTTACCTCATCCTGGCCCTTCTTTCTGTCACCATCAGCTTCAGAGTCTACAAATCTGTCATCCAAGCTGTGCAGAAGTCAGAAGAAGGCCATCCATTCAAGTAAGTTAAAATGATAGTCTACATTTTAGTTGAAAGGGTTTTCTGGGTCTGATCAGCTCTAAAAAAAAATAATAATCAGCCCTAGCCAGGCACAGATGGCTCACACCTGTAATCCCAGCTACTCAGGAGGCTGAGATCTGAGTACCACAGTTCAAAGCCAGCTCAGGCAGGAAAGGTCATGAGACTCTTCGCTCCAGTTAACCACAAGAAAATAAGAAGTGAAGCTGTGGTTCAAAGTGGTAGAGCCCTAGGCTTGAACAAAAGAGCTCAGGGACAATGCCCAGGCCCCAAGTTCAAGCCCCATGAATGACAAAAAAAAAAAATGATGATACAAACCAGCCCATACAGACTTTACAGTCAGTCACCCTAAGAAGTGGCCAGGTTAGGATCTGAGAACTTTTCAACAAACTAGAGGCTCACACTGTGAACCCTGGGTGGGGAGAGGACACCACATACCCAGAGCACCTAGTCAGACAGCCATGTTCATGTTGAAGCTGCATTTGGGGGCAATAATAGCATGTGAACCGAGAGCCTGTGCTCGTTAGCCCTGCACCTGTACTGCTGACCCACGCTCCCAGCGCTGGAAGTGGCTTTGAAATCCTGGCATGGGGGCCGTACTCTGTGTTTTCTCTTAGCTTTATTTCTGATTTCCTTCTTAGCTGTCATTTAGTTTTCATAATCTCAGAGGGGTTTTTTTTCTTAGTTTATATTAATTATGCCAGGGGTGGGGAGAGGTATTGTTACATGTCCACATAGTTATTCTAATCAATATCACCCCCTCTGTTACTGTCCCTGCCTCCTTCCCAAAATAGTATCAACAGGTTTTATTGTTCCGGTTTTGTTGTTGTTGTTGTTTTTTGGGTCCGATCGTGGGGCCTGAACTCTGGGCCTGGGCGCTGTCCCTCAGCTCTTCAGCTCAAGGCTAGCGCTCTACCACTTGAGCCACAGCGCCACTTCCGGCTTTTTTCTTTTTGCTTATGTGGTGCTGAGGAATCAAACCCCTGGGCCTCATGCATGCAAGGCAAGCGCTCTACCACTGAGCCACCTTCCCAGCCCCTATTGTTCAGTTTTTATAGTCACAGTCTACTTTGACCATATTCATTGTCTTTAATCCTTCTTCCCCAGAGGCAAATCTTAATAAATGAGGTCATACACTCTAGGGTCTGATTTCTATTTTTTCTGATTATAATGTAACTTTAACAAATGCTTTCTTCACATTTTTACTCTTAACATTTTTAACCCACACTTAGTGGGTTAATAAATGCCAGGGTTCTTAATTTTATTTTACTTATTTTTATTTATTTGGCGGGGGGGGGGGGTTGGGGGGCAGTCCTGGGTCTTGAACTCAGGGCCTGGGCGCTGTCCCTGAGCTTCTTTTTCTCGAGGCTAGCACTCTACCACTTGAGCCACAGCGCCACTTCCACTTTCTGTGTATGTGGTGCTGAAGAATCGAACCCAGGCCTTCATGCATGCTAATAAAGCACTTTGCCACTGAGTCACATTCCCAGCCAGAATTCTTAAATTTTTTTATGTTTCTTGTGATCCTCTCAGGCTTGCAATAGAACAGGCTCTGGCTGTCAGGCTGGAGCTATTCTTTCTCTTGGTGAAATAAAACAGTTAAAATCATATGTAGCTTAAAATTTTATGCAAATTATGGACTGGTTTGATGATAAGAGTGCTTGCCTAGCATTCATGAGGCCCTAGGTTTAATACCCAATACCACCAAAAAAGAAAAGTTGTAGTATGAACAAAATATGACTTGAGAAAATTCATAATGTGCTGGACACAAAAGCTTAAGGACAGTGCCAGGCCCTGAGTTCAAGTCCTACTACTAGCACAAAGGGAAAAAAGAAAATCAGAATAAGGGCAAATTGAGGCTGTCGCATACTTTTAATCCCATCAAGCCAGGAGACAGATATCTGGGTGATTGTGGTTCAAAGCCAGCCCAGGTAAACAGGCATGAGTGCTATATGTCTCTGATTCCCAGATACTAAAGACGCCATAGGCAAGAGGATCTCAGTCTTAGACCAGACCCAGGGAAAGAATTTTGAGACCTTAACTAAAAAAATAACTAAAGCCAAAAAAGGGCTCAGGGCATGGCTGAAATGGTAGAGAAACTGCCTAACAAGCTAAAAGTCCTGAATTCAAGCCTCATTACCACCAAAAGATAGAGATTCAGGACTGTTAAAAATTGTTGGGAGCCAGTCACCAGTGGCTGACTGTCATCCTAGCTACTCAGGAGGCTGAGATCTGAGGATCGCGGTTCAAAGCCAGCCCAGGCAGGAAAGTGTCTGTAAGACTCTAAATCTCCAGTTGATGACCAAAAAGCCAGAAATGGAGCTGTGGCTCAAAGTGGTAGAGTTCTAGCCTTGAGTAAAAAGAAGCTCAGGGACAGTGTCTAGGCCCTGAGTTCAAGCCCCAGGACTGGGTAAAATAAATAAATAAATACAAATAAGTATATAACATACATATACATACATACATATATACAACAATGGAATAAAAGTTATGCAGGAGCCAGACACCAATGACTCACAACTATAATCCTAGGTACTCAGGGGACTGAGATTTGAGGGTCATGTGGTTTGAAGCCCAGGCAAAGAAGTTTGTGAGACTCTTCCTCCAATAAGCTATCAGAAAAAGCTCAAGGACAGCACCCCGGCCCTGAGTTCAAGTCCCAGGACTGGGTAAAAAAAAATTTAATTATGTAGGACTATAAGACAATTTTTTCTTGTGACAATCCTATACTTTGCAGCCACCTGGCATCTTTGCCTCTGCCCATTACATGATCATAAAAAAAATTCCCCTATAAATTCCTAAAATGCATTCAGGGCCCAGTTTCATCCTTGTGCTGACAGAATCTTTCCTCCTGTGTGACATGTGTGACTGTTGTTTCTTCCTCTGGAAGAGCGTACCTGGACTTGGACATTACCCTGTCCTCAGAAGCTTTCCACAACTACATGAATGCAGCCATGGTGCACGTCAACAAGGCCCTGAAGTTCATCATTCGTCTCTTTCTCGTGGAAGATCTGGTTGACTCCTTGAAGGTTAGTTGTTTCTGTAGCTTTTGGGGGTGAGTCTGACGTGGAGTATGGTTCAGAGTGACAACACTGTGTTAGGGTTTTATCTGTGCACTTACTAGTCCATCTTTGGACCTAAGAGGTGGGCAGAATTCTCTTCACCCTGACATATATAGTTCAAGTGGGAATGTTCATCACCCATTTATAGTATCAGTGACCTGAAGTCTGCATTACTTTGATTCCTGCTTGTTCTCCTTCACAGCTCGCCGTCTTCATGTGGCTGATGACCTATGTGGGTGCGGTTTTTAATGGAATCACCCTTCTGATTCTTGGTACGGTGGTAAGGAAAGTGTCCCAGCTTCTTGAGTAAAAGTATAGAGATGCCCAGCATGGTTCTCCTCACTTGGCAGCCATCAGGGATGTGCTCTGGACACGGAGGAACCAGACAGCTGCAAGGGAGAGTTGTGTAGGTTGAATACAGGAAACTTACTTTGAGAAACCATTTTTTTTTTTTATTTGGAAAGGGGTGTATGTGGTACAACGAATGCAGCCTGTGTACCAGAAGAGGTCTTTGGGTTGTTAGACTACCCTAATTGTCCTTTGTTGAGACTGTTAGCCAGGATTCCTCATTTTTAAGGAAAATCTGCTTCATGAGGACAAAATTGCACTTCTTGAATCTTGAGACTTGGTCTCACACTTGCTCTTTTCTTGTCTCTTCCTTCTGTCTTCCAGCCGATCTGCTGGTGTTCAGTGTCCCAATTGTGTATGAGAAGTACAAGGTAAGCTATTTGTTTCCAATCAGATGTGCTGGCTAGTTTGACTAGTTTAGTTCATTTTGAGTCAAGTGCCTGTAAGAATGTAGTGACTGGTTTCCTCCAGCAAGAGAAATTAGATATATAGAACAGATGCAAGGAGGAAAGAGATACTTGATGCCTTATATGCATTTTGGCTTTTTACCATATGTATGATCTGTTCCAGTAAAAGTTCAAAAATGCTTAATGAATAAAAGTTAAGTGCCTAAATAAAAGCTTAAACTGTGGGCTGGGAAGGAAATGGTCAGTGGGGTGGTGTGTGCAGTATACTCTCTATGTGGATTAAGCAAACATCACAGATCTCTAGTTCTTCTGCTATTAAAGACTTAACCAGGAGCCGGGCGCTGGTGGCTCACGCCTGTAATCCTAGCTACTCAGGAGGCTGAGATCTGAGGATCTCGGTTCAAAGCCAGCCGGGGCAGGAGAGACCGTGAGACTCCTATCTCCAATAAACCACCAGAAAACCAGAAGTGGCGCTGTAGCTCAAGTGGTAGAGCACTCGCCTTGAGCTGAAGAGCTGAAGGACAGCGCCCAGGCCCAAAGTTCAAGCCCCACGACCGACAAAAAAAAAAAAAAAAAAAAGACTTAACCAGGAGCTATAACAAAACTACAGAATACAGATTAGTATTCAGAAAACTCTGTACATCAGGGTCTCTAAGTAAGGCTTAGCTCTGCAAAAGATTAAGTCTAAAATCAGAAGTTGATACAATACTTTGAAAAACTAGGCTTTGTTTTTTCATTTTCCAGCATATTTATAATTTTTTAAAAATGGGTAAACTACATAAAGGAAAGTGCCTTCGGTGTATGGCCACATCTGTGTATGGCCACAACTGAGTCTTCTTTTCTTCCTTACAGACACAGATTGATCACTACGTTGGCATTGTCCGGGATCAGACCAAGTCCATTGTTGAAAAGTATGTATACTCAGGCCATTTTCATCACTATTTTCATGTGATTTCTTTTCCCCTCCAATTATTTTAAACCCCCACAGAAAATGCTAAAGCCAAAGGTAAGTAATTTTCATGCTGAAAAAGAAAAAAAATTTTTTTGACTTTTTTGTTGGTCGCAGGGAGGCTTGAAACTCTGGGCCAGGGCGCTGTCCCTGCGTTCTTCATTTCAAGGCAAGCACTCTACTGCTTGAGTCACAGCACCACTTCCAGTTTTCTAGTGGTTTATTGGAGATAAGAGTCTCACAGACTTTCCTGCCTGGGCTGGCTTTGAACCGTGATTCTCAGATCTCAGCCTCCTGGGTAGCTAGGATTACAGGTGTGAGCCACTGATGCCTGGTTATTTCTATTAATTTGCAAAATATGCTCGTAGCTCAGTTTTGGACTTGGTGTCTTCTTGATCACTAGTGTTAGTTGACATGAATCACCTGCTGTTAGATGTGGAAGGTAGCCTTGACATCCTGAGGGAGTTTGAATGACCTTTCTAGTATTAGTGAGGGACCTGGCATTCATTTTTCTGTGCCTGCCAGAGCCAGAGAAATGGGCTGTGGCATCCTGCATCATCAGCAGGCACTATGCCTGATACCTTCATTCCTCTCTGGAACCCCAGTGAGGGGCCAAGAGGCTCTGGCAGAGGAGAGAACCAGGCAGGTGAGGTGGGCTTTGTGGACCCTGGGCTTGTGCCAGGCATAGAACAGAACAGCTCATACCCTTGCCTCTGCCTGTCTTCACCCATCCTTGTGAAAACAGGAATGTGTTCCATGTGATTTAAGCAGTCCATGATGGACTGCTGGCATTACTGTGAAATTTAAAACCTAGCAATTGTTCCTCATACCTTTACTCACCTTTTTTTTTTTTCCCCCAATAGGATCCAAGCAAAAGTCCCTGGAATCGCCAAAAAAAAGGCAGAATAAGCATATGGAAACCAGAAACACAACAGTTACTAAAACACCATTTAATAGTTATAAAATAATGTTGTTACTTGTACCGTGAAGGCACATGCTCAGTGTCGGCTTGAGCCTGCATTCCAAGCTTTTTTTAATTTGGTGTTTTCTCCTCTCCTTCCCCCTTACCCTCTCAGTATCAAGCACAAGAAGTGTTGGACTGAAGGAAAAAAAAAAAAAACTGCTCTAAGAACCCAAAAGAATAAAGAATCAAATTGGTAGGGTCAGTCCCTAGTGGTGGTGGAGCTCTTACCTGGGGGAAGGCACTGAAGAAGGCGAGTGGTTGAACACATGTCGGGTCCACTCTCCGTATTCAAGGGCAAGTCTCACCCAGCTCCCATTATACTTTTATCCCTATATTTTTAAGTTAAATAATGAGTAACTTGTGAAGAAGAAATTGTTTGGGGCAGAAGTGGGATTCCTTCCTCTAATTCCACCTCCTGCCCCGCACCATAAGCAGCTATTCCTAATATTCCTCTTTGAATCGAGTAACTTATAGAGGTGATTCCTAGTGCTCAGAACACCATCCAAGAAAGGAGAGTGGGAACGGAGGGTGGGATGGAGAGGGTGTGGCGGGAGCACGCCTGGCTGCCAGCCCTCCGCCACCCATGCTAGCAAAGGAAGTAAGCAAGGGCTCTGCAGGCTGGAGGGTCATGTCCTACCCAGCTCTCTTGGACACCAGTTTGAGCATTGGTTTGGGAATTCATTCCAGAATGTGCTTCCCCTCTTCCTGCCCACCTTACCTCAAGTTTAATAAATATGGTTGTACTTTTATTATGAAATAAATGTCTGTAACTGCTGTACACTGCTGCAAACTTGTTAGAGAAAACATAACCTGCATGTGGGCTCCTCAGTAATTGAGTAATTGTAATCCTACACCTGTCTGTGGGGGGGAGGGAACGTCCTCAAGAGGTGAACTCCAGAAATACAGAGGCCCATTTTCTTTATCTTCTCTTCACATGCTGCATCTTTAACCTGCACTCATCCATTTAGCCTGCGGACCCAGGCTGCACTAGCTTGAGAGGCTACACCACCTGTGGTGAAGCTAAATGTGTCTCGTGGCTTATGTGGAGTTGAGCTGCTTGGAGGCTGGCTTGTGGCTGTGTTTAAGACAGGTAAACTGGCTCAACACCTGGTTGTGGCCCAGGGTGCTTCTGTGGAGAGCACTTTAGGTAAGCTCGAGTAAGCAGGGCCACATTGTATTGATGGGCTGTGTGCAGTTGCTGGAGAGTGAGTGATAAGGAATCTCCAAGTCCAAGTCTACATGAAGTGGGTGGGAATCCAATCATTGGGAAAGCAAGCAGAGATGAGTCCCACCCCTCAAGGAGGAATGTGAGCTGGCAACTTTGAAGTACAAGTTGTGGTGTTTCATGCACCTTCTTACAAGTAGGGAGAGGAACTTTATTTCTACTCTGGAAAATTACTTGCATTTAGATAGGTAAAAGAGGCTGTAACCTTTCTCCATTTTCTTTTCTCTATTTTCCTCTTCCCTTCTAATTTTTAAACTCACTTTGTCATCCACGTCCTTTGTCTTACGAGGTCAGCACATTGACAGTCACAGGCATCTCCACCAACGGGCCCCTTTCTGCACTGGAAGCCTCCGCGTCTGGCTCTTTTCTTTTGTGTTGCTGCTGTGTTTAAATAATTGGATTTTTTTTTAATGTGTGCCAGGATCTTTTTTTTTTAAAGAAAAATCTATAGATGAAAAAATTACTAATGAAACTGTGTACGTGTCTGTGCGTGCAACATAAAAAATACAGTAGCACCCAAGGAGCTTGAATCCTGGTTCCTGTAAAATTGCAAATTGATGTGGTATTAATTAAATAAAGAACGCAATGACTGTGGTATCGTTCTGCTAACTTTATTCTTTCTACATAGTATGGGTAAAGTAAGAACCAGACAAGGTTTTCTGACCCTTGGTCTACTTGGGGACTTTCAAAAACAAAATGCATGGCTGAGCCAGGCACCAGTGGCTCATGCCTGTAATCCTAGCTACTCAGGAGGCTGAGATCTAAGGATCTAGGCTCAAAGCCAGCCCGGGCAGGAAAGTCCGTGAGCCTTTTTTTTTGGGGGGGGGGTCTGGTTGTGGAGCCTGAATTCTGGGCCTGGGCGCCGTCCCTCAACTCCTCCTCAGCTCAAGGCTAGCACTCTTACCACTTGAGCCACAGCACCACTTCCAGCTTTTTTTTTCTGTTTATGTGGTGCTGAGGAATTGAACCCAGGGCCTCAGGCATGCAAGGCAAGTATTGTACCACTGAGCCACCTTCCCAGCCCCCTGTGAGACTCTTATCTCCAATAAACCACTAGAAAGCCAGAAGTAGTACTGTGGCTCAAGCGGAAGAGTGCTTGCCTTGAGCTGAAGAGCGCAGGTACAAGGCCCAAGCCCAGAGTTCAAGCCCCATGACTGACAAAAAAAAAAAAAAAGTATGGCTGGGGAATGTGGCTTAGTGGTAGAGTGTTTGCCTAGCATGCATGAAGCCTGGGGCTTAATTCCTCAGTACCACAGAAACAAAAGGCCAGAAGTGGTGCTGTGGCTCAAGTGGTAGAGCCGCTAGTCTTGAGCAAAAGAAGCTCAGGGACAGTGTCCAGGCCTTGAGTTCAAGCCCCAGGACTGCCGCCACCACCAAAAAAAAAACAGTTAAGACCGTGGGATTTCCATAGCATAAGGCACAGCTGTGCAGGAACTGAGACACACCCCAAGAAGGGGTCCTTGCAGGAGCATGGGAAGGTCCTGGGCAACCCATCAACCCTGAGGTTCCCGGCTTGCAATGTGAAGCAGCCTATCTACCTTCCATCACCTGCAGCCACAGCCACAAATGCTGAAATTCAGATTTGATCACATGCACCAGGTCTCTGCTCCAAGATCCCTTCCTCTGAATTACTCCTACCCCGCCCCCATGAAGGCTGCTGGGACTTGATCTGAAGTTTAAAATTTTATTCAACATACCTCTTAGAAAACTTAGGCTGAAATATTTTTTAATGACTGAATGCATACAACTTCACAAATACGCATACAAATGTTTGAATAATGTCACTAAGTAACATGGTATATAAATATGTATTCATAGTAACATTTACATATTGGCCATAATAGCAAGCATACCATTAACAAAAAAAAAAAAAGAATCATGAAGAAACTTCACCTGTTAATGACGATCTGAGACTAGGAGGCATGGGCAGGGATGAGGACTGGTCACCATGGGAATCCCCACAGTGATAGCAGACCTTGGCTGGGGTCCGCTGCTGCATCAGGACCCTTGGGGGCTTCAAAATGCATGGCTGGCCCCATCCCAACACTAATTCTGGAAACCTAAATGTATATGGGTCTAGGAATGTTTACATTTAGCAAGTTCCTAAGACTGCTGCTGCTGGTCCACACTGTAGGCCACTGAAGTGCTTGAGCTGTCTCCATGAAGACAGTGCTTCCTGTCCTACCAAAAGGTAGAATCATTCCTAACCTGCTCTGTCCCACTTAACCTGAACTTCAGGTGGGGGTGGGGAGGGAGTGGAACACTCATTCTGGGTTTGAGAATATGCATGAAAGAAAGTAAAAGAATACTAGTGCCCATTTGGGTACCATTCATAATCTCTGTCCTCGTTATTTTAATACTGTCTTAGAAACCCTGAAAGGTGAAAACTCACTGGAAGTTCATCTTCAGTCCATTGAATGCCGGGTCCTGAACTCCTGATGGCCTCAAAAGTAAAGAATGCAAAGCCAGAGTTCTGCCTGCTGGGAGATCTTGGGCATCACAGATAAAGCAGTTACGGCTCCTTTGCAACTGAGGCCCCGTGGCAAGGGCTGCCCCAAAGAGCCCAGCATCCTCATTCCGAGGAAGTCAAGTCTTTCCATGCTCACAAGTTACAGATGCACAGTGATGGCCTGCAATGCCCAACACATGCCACCCCTTGGCAGAACGAACACATAAGAGAAATCTCAATAATTTCCCAGAGACTAGGAGGCAGTGTGGTATAGTGCAAAAATCAATGAACTGGAAGTTGACATTTTTATGCTAGTTTTTGTCCTGTTCTAGTTGGCTGTAATCAATCTCCGTTTCTGGCCTTGAGAAGTTTCCTAGTGATGGAGGAGGTATGGTACTACTAGTGATCTCCAGGGTGTCTTCCCACTCAGACAATTTAGAAGTATATAAAAATGATACAAAATCCGTGGTATAAAATCCAACTCCCAATCAGGAGTCAAGGAGACTGGGCCTGAGGCACTTGAACCTTGGGTTCTGGCCTGAGGGAGGAAGAGGCAGGGAAGGCCTTAGGCATTGTTCTCACCCACCAAGGCAGCAGCACCGGCCCCAAGTGGCAGGGCAGCGGGTTCGCTCCCCTCACCTCTCCACCTGACTCTAAACTGAGGGCCCTGTTCCCCCAATGGCTTCTCTTGATGAAGAGCAGACCCTGGGGCCAGGAGAGGAGAGGAGGTTTTGTGTCCTCCCATCCCTGCATGTCTGTCCTCCATTCTTTCCGGTCCTTCCTCCACCACCTCACAGCTTATCTCTGATACACGCATAATAAATAAGACATTTTGCACATGAGGGTGATTGGGTCAGCTCTCTCCCCGCCCCTCCCCCTTTCATATAAAAGCATTAAATACAGTTTCAAAATAAAATACAAAGAGCAAAAATCGGGCCTGATCTCGGGGCCGCCAGTTCTCCACGGGAGAATGAATCTACACATCCCTCTCGGACCTGCCTGGGAGATCTCAGGGGCTGCGGGGGGGCGGCTTCCCCACCCCCACAGAGCCTGGAAAGAGAAGGGGAGGCCAAGGCTCGGCCCAGGCCCTGGGAGCAGAGAACGTGGCCATCCACCCCGCATCCACCAAGGACGTAAGCGGCCTGGGGAGGAGGCGGGATTCTAGGCCAACTGCCGGGACCGCCAGTGTCCCGGGCCGGACCAGGGGCTCCTAGCTCCGCTTAGGGGTAAATGGGGGGGGGGCCCTTCCGGGCAGGAGAGGAGCAAAGGAAAAAAAAGTGCTAATCCCTCTCCGCTACACGATCTCTGCCTGGGCGGGCGTGACAGTGGCCCAGGAGGCTGGCACAGCTGGCCCTGGCCCGGCCTCGCTCGCTCCGCCCGCGGTTGGCTCAGCGCTTCCGCCCCACAGCAGGGCCGCCCGCCTCCCCGCCTCCCCGCCTCCCGCGCCCGGGGCCTCCGAGAGGCCAAGGAATACCAATGGGGACCGGGCAGCCGAGCCCTCCCCTCCTCCCCCGAGCGCGGGGCCGCGCCCGCTGGCGCAGAGACCTGGGCTCCACCAGGGCAAGGGGCCGGCGAGGCCTCCCGGCCCCGCCTTCGGCCTAATACTGACAGACGGCGCCCGATCCCGCCCAGCAGCCGAGCGCCTCCCCGGGCGCGGCCGGGGGCTGGTAGCGCGGCTCGGAGCGAGCTCCCGGGACG